AAATTTGAAGCGGGAAATCAAAATTAAATTAACAGAACCTTTGAATTTAACCTTAAAACGAAGTCCACAGGAATCTTTTTTAATGGACAAGAGATATTTGAATTAACCTTATAAGTGTTTCGTAACATTATATGAACAATGCCATCCCATAAAGATTCATGCAAGTACATGTTTGTAACGCCTTATTTTGTTATATAAGCCCAAATTTTTATAAATTATAAAGACTTTTTAGGCCTTGTTTTAATCGGAAGAATTTTCTTGTCTAAAAGCTCTTTGAAACTGCCTAATCTGATAAATGCAATTTAGTTGTTTTAACAAAATTTCAATACTTTAGTTATTAATTTGAAATATTTCTACAAACAAATTTAACTATTATTATTTTTTTCTTATATATTCATAGAAATATATTATTGACAGGAGATATTTATTAAAATAATATCTTGTGTGATAATCTCTTTGGATATTATATAATATCCTGTTTATAAATTTTCTTTAATAGAAATGAATTTTAAGTATTTAGCATTATAGATTATAAAATGTAAAGATGAAGGAACTATAAAAAAATAAATTATTGGAGTGTAAACATAAATTATTGGAGTGTAAACATAAATTATTAGAGTGTAAACTTTATATATAATAAATCTATATAATATATAATTATGTTACCTATGAAGTGCATAATCAGGCAATACACGTATTGTTTCTTTCTTACCTAAGATTGTGTTTAAAAAACGCGCCTTGATCGCGATTTTAAATTTGAAAATCTGATCATTCTTCCCTCACCTCATGTCAGTATGTGTAGAATACCCATCCTTAAATTTCAGATAATTTTTGTCATGAATTTTTGAATCATTTTTAATTTATAAACTGGCAAGTACCAATACATAGGACTAAGATATTTCCTAATCCGGCAATATAATGTATTCGACTCATTTCAGGGTATAAGTAATTTATCCATTTATATTAATTTCCAATATATTTTTAGCTTTCACCTTTTTTCTGCCGATAAGCTCTTTCAATATCTCTCACCACTTTATGTTATTCATGCTATCTCTTTTATCTAATTTATTCTTCATATTGGCTCTAACTTTATGAGCTAATATGAAGAAATGGTTTATTAGACAAGTATCCTAGCACACGGCTGTCCAAGCCTGTCGGTGACCGGGGTGGCATTTCTAAGCTCATAAATTCATCTTATCATATGTCTTTAATCATCAGTCATCGAAGAAAAAACTGAAAATTTTACAGTTCCTTACCAGGATTGAACCTGGTACCTTCTGCTAAAAAAATTCTAAATTATCCTAGCTTAGATAGTATAGATTCAAAATCTACGCATATTATAAAGTACTGCAACTTCTATTCTGACCTAATAATTTTTAAGTGTGGTTAATTTATAGCCATTTTTTTTCTAAACTATTACATTAAGAAATAAACATTAATATAATTATTTTATTTATTATATAATTAAGATATTAAATCATATTTTATGGTTTTATTTTATATTTTAATCATATATGCAAAATTAAAATATTAAATCTAACAGCAAACTAACATAGTGTTAAGTTGGACACATATGTTAACTTAAAGATTATTTTGGAATTTTAATCGATCAGAAAAACCTTTGACTGATATTAGCATATATTATATTATATTTATTTCAAAATGTATGAAAAATAAAATATGTAAGAAATTACATAAACTAATTTAAAACAATTTCCAATTATAATATAAAGGAATAAAGATCCTAATATATTAGGATTTAACGTTCTGCTTTTTTCTAAAATGCAGCTGTCAGTTGAAATATTTTACTACCTGCTCGCTGAAGACACAAACATAGGGGAGACCACCCGCATGAATTTTGCTCATTGGCAATAAAATAATTATTTGAAATCATAAAATTAAACTGAAAGCACCTACATTAACCTACAAATATATTAGAGCCTTTTAGTTCCAATATTTAGGAATTATTATAAAAATTGCAATTAAAGTTATGGACAATTTTCCAGACGCATATTTAACATCACATTCGGCAAAATATACATAAAATATACTAAAAAATGTAAAAACAAAACAAAAGTGAGCAAGTTTAATAAACAAATTTAACAAAATAACATAAAATTAATAAGAGTTTTGTCGTCAAATTGAAGGGAGCATAATATCGGAAATTGAAATAATTTTAAAAAGTAAATAATTATGAATTTGGATACATTCATTCAAAATATTTTCCTAACTCATATTTAATAGTTGTTGTTTCCTAAACCTAATAATAAATATATTTTATTTGACAATACATCTGCCAAAATAGATGATTTATACCTATGAATGTACACTAAAAAGGTAAATCCTTGTTTTTCTTACAATCATGAATAGCTTGGATACATTCATTTATTCAGAATATTCCCAAGGCTCATAATTTATAGTTTTTGTTTCCTAAGCCTAATAACAAATATATTTATTTAACAGTACAACTTTCTCCATGATGGATTACTTATACCAGGTATGATTTAATTACACTAAGAATTCTATTAAAAAAAGGTAAATCCTATTTTTTTTATAAATATGATTAATAGCTGGGATACATTTATTCATTACTTCATGATCTTGTAGCCCACATTTAATAGTTTTTGTTTCTTAAGTCTAATAACAAATATATCTAATTAGGATGGAGTGAGATATCTTACTCTAATAACATAGCGAAAAGGGCTCTGTACCACCCTAATCATTATGCAATTGCCCAAAATTTTTTATCAATACCTCCTACTAGTGTTTCATCAGAACGTATAATCATTTTTTTGAAACACACACTCTAAACCAAGAAATAAAAAGGTAAAAATGTTGTTATCAATTCGGCATAACTTATACTTAATAAATCAGCAATTGTCCTCAAATATTCAATCTAGAAACATTAGATTTTTGGAGAAAATAGTTAATCAGAAATTGAAATATCAGATTCGAGTGATAATGGTGTTGGAATGGTTGATGATAGTACGAGTGAAATTGAGTTTTGATGAAGTATTTTACTAAACATTTAATGTATATTCTTATTATCAAGCTTGTTACTCGTTCCTATTAAAAGGATCGAATCCCGATCACTTTTCAAAAGAAAGGGATCGAAATCCAGGTTGACATTTTTTTTAAAAAAGAATGGCTATCACGATCCTTTTCTTATTTTATAAATTTCTGAAAAATTTTTATGTTCTATGCAATTAACTAATATAAAAATAAATTAAATATAGTGTAAATTTATAGTAATAGAATAATATAACTGTATTAATATATTTAAATCAAAATTAGCCTTTAAAATAATAAAAGAACTTATAAATTATTATCATTCAACATCCGTGTCAAAGAACATATTTAGCTTTACTAAACAAGCGCTCTATAGGAGAGTTGATGGCAAAGGTGTTATATTATCAGTAAACAAAATATCAATTAGATAATCATTTGTATATAAAAAATATTATTAAGGGAAAGCGCATTTTGCGAAGAATTTTTCAAAGAAAGTATTAGTTTTTTCTATACAATTATTTGAATAAGCATCTGCATTTAGCTGATCCTGCAGGTTTTTCAAAAACTACCAACAGATATTGGCAGATTGATATGAGGCCTATTATTAAATTATAGGCGAATTATTGCTGCTAATATGCTACTCTCACAGAGTGAAGGAAATCTATATTTTAAAAAATGTAATATTATTATCGGAGTTGAGGAAAAGGTAAAAGGTTATCATTTCTATCTCCACTTTAATAACTGTATGTGCATTTTCTTCTATATCTATAATAGACATTAGTATATATATGCAAAAATAATTTATATTTTTAATTTAATAAATAAAACTTGAGGTTGTATCAAATTCGTAAATGTTGTTGATAAGATTTATAAAAATATAAAATATGGTGGGGGATGCTAAAATATGTGGAGATAGATGTTTTTTAAAAAAAGAATTTTATTTAAATTTTTTAAATAAAAAAAAATATTTAACAAAATAATCTCGATTACGATCCTAAATTTAAGAGGAAATCATAAATCCGGATAAATTGCTAAAATTTGGATCGACTCAGGATCGTCGATCTTTTGATTTCGAGCCTTTAAGAACTCTGCTTATTATATTTATTATTTGCATTATAATTTATCTATTGTTACTTGAATATAATAAAATATAGTGAAAAGGTTGAAAAAGATTAGTTACAATTTAAGCAATCATGAATTCCCATAAATTTCCGTTAAATCAAGTTAACCCCATTCATTTTAATTCCCAAAATTCCCATGGGAAGATTACCGCAATAAAAATCCTGGCAATTTTCTAACCCTAGACACAATATTATTGGAGAAGATACATCCTTTGGAGGTAAGATTTATACGTCAAAATATAATACAATAAGAAAAACAAATTAACACATTATATAGTATATATATGGCAATCAAGCCAGGCCTATACTTAAAATTTTTTAGACGCTCTGGTCATATAATAAAGCGTTATATGATATCCCAGCTGAATATTTATTTTAATAATTTTTTTTAAAGGTTACAATTTTCAAAATCCAAATTGGAGAAATTTAATTTTTTGGTCCATCACTAAAAATCCGGTGTATAAATTTTAAATTTAAAAGCTGAAAAAAAATAAAATTTTAACTAATTTTTGCCCAAAATTTGAAAAAATATGTAATATTATCTTGCCCCAAATTTCGGTCATTGAAGGGAAATAATTTTATGGTTTAATTATAGTAGTTTATTTTTTATACACCTCGCCATATGATAAAAAAATGGTTCACAATTCCCACTTTTTGGTTATCTAAATTTTAAACTTTATAATAATTATTCCTTAAATTTTTTCAAAAAATTCAAAGTTTCTAAAGACTTTCTACATTGGATAATGTTGTCACTTTGACAGAGATAAAATCAACTATTTAAATTTTTTCATTCATTCTCTATAATATAATAAATATTGGTTATAATAAAAAGAATAATTTAATTTTATGAAGCCGTTTTTAATTAATAACCTTGTAAAAATGGTAGGATCCTACAGAGTGCCGCCCCGAATATGAAATTCTTAATAATGGAGCCTATGACGGTAAAAGGAAGGCAGAATATAGTGAGCAACAAATCCGTCAATGATATATTGAGTAAATAGACATTTGTGACCGTTCGCATACCTTTATGCTTCCAGAGAGTCAAAATTACTAAGAAATTTCCAAGTATCGAAAGAGAGAATATTGCGGAACTGACCGCTATTATCACAATTTGTTCCGCGCTAAAGAACATTTTAAGTCGAAGTGTTCTAAAAAATAATTTAAATACTTCTATATATAAAGAAACGACTGATAATAATATTAGGCATTTTGGGCATAAAAGAATAATCTTGTTTTTTATATTTAGAATTTTTTATAAATAAATGAATTCTTTAAAATATACAATACCTAGGAAAAAATCATAATTTATTTTTTCCTAAATATCGATTTCAAAATGTTGAATTTTTCATTATATACATAATAATACATTATATAATATAATCATTATAATTTTTTTATAAAAAAAGATGGCAATTCGAGTTTCATAAAATTTTCTAAAGTTTCTATAAAAAAAAAATGAAATTTTTAAACAATAAATTATCATATTTTAATTATTTAGCTCAACCTTATATGCAATTTATAATTCATAATTTATTGCAGATATAGTGATTTTTCTTAAATAAATATGAAAATTGTCAAACACTGAGAAATAAATTTCAAGAATTGAAATTGTTTTCAATTAGAAGATGTTTGGCTTTGATATTTTAACAAATATTTAAATTTCTGATATAATTCTTATTAAAAAAAATTATATTATACTCATGGGTGATATTTTTTCATTTTCTTATGAACATTCTAATATGCTCCACTTAATAACAGCACATTTGTTGGCGTTGACACATATACTATACTTTATATAATTATTACAAAAAAAGACAGGTATTATTGACGAAGTAATCGTTGTTATATACAACCTACCTGCTAGAATGAAATTCGGGGAAGAGAGGGGGAATTATATTATAGTGAGTAAGTTCTCTATGGTAAACCAATGAGTAGGATTAAAACAATATTTATGATAGCTGCGATTATAATTCTATGATAGTAGCAAAAGTGCAAGATGTAGGCGAAATTTTGGAGAGTAATAGTAATTTTGAGTTGGGTGCAACTCTTCCCCTTCCCTCGCCATGCCCGGGAAATGTAAAAAAACTATGATATAATTAAATGTATAAATTCTAAGATATTTTTAAATAAGGTGGGTGTAAAAGTAGACTGTTTTAATTATGATATTTATATATTATATAAGCAAAATAAATATATTAATGAATTTTATTTGTGGTTGTTTGGATTGCTTAGTTCTCTATCTCTGTATTTCACTAAATTGGATTGATTATCACTTAAATAGCTATATTATTCTTCCTTTGTTGGATCCACCGCCTTTCGGGCGACATCGCTTTTGGCCTTGTACGAATATTCTAAATAAGGTAGTTTGCTAACTTTCCAAAAAATATCTAGGATGACACCCCATTTGGTTAATAATAGTCGTTAAGGGGATCTATATTGCATTTATAAAATTTAGTTTTTCTTGCTGATTAAACTAAAAAAATTCTGATTGTTAAATGAATTCAATATTCCTTACACTTTGATTTGGATAAAGTTAGCTTTATCTTAAATTTTCCAATTTTATGCTTAATCAAATCAACGAAACTAAATAATTTCAAAATTTAAATACTTTTGTCTTTCGTCGAGGAATTTGGCAATTACGATGATTAAATGAGTGAGTGAACCTTTACTTAAATATAACGTGAACTTACTTTATATATCGCAGGAAATCATTTACCAATGATTTACGTAGGTGGGAATAATGAAGAGTTAAAAATGTTATTTAAAAGAAATTTATAGATATAAAAGAGTTTTGCTGATCGAAAAATTAAAAATCGCGTTTTTTCTAACGTAACATTCGCATTTTTTTTAAATTTCTGGACCCATTTGATCTTCAAAACGGGTTCCTTAGATAGATCACTAGCCATATGTGCATCAGGGTTATTCGCTATTATATTTTTGTATCAATATCAGTTTCCTTTTTTTTAAACAATAGTAATCTTTTAATAACCTTTATCTAGAAAAAATCCTGGATACGCCTATGGCAATATAAAATATAAAGGTGCATGTTAATTTGATGAGATCAAGTATTGAACTTAAATTTCCCATCTTCCTAATCTAGGTGGTGGAAATAAGTTTCTAAAATAATTGTACAGTGATTAATTTTGAATGAAAATAAGTTAGACACAATACTTGTCTGATTTGACCTTGATTCCTAGAAACTATTGATTAACTTATGAATTTCAGCTGGAGTAAGATCAAGATGGAGTAAGATCAAGCCGGAGTAAAATCATTGATGTGTTGTTGAGAGAGATTGAATGGATGGTAGAATATTATATAGAGGAAAAAAAGGTATATATTGTAAGCAATTCTGAAATTTTAATTGTAAATTTTATTGACTCAATTTTTTTTTTACAATTTACCAGAGGTTAATTTTCATGAGTGAAATATTTTTTCCCCTTGAGATTTTCCTTCCATTTTTTATGCAATGCAGAATTTTTTAAACAAAAATATATCCTTATTTTTCTATACATTTTTTAATTTGCATTGCAATAAAGGTAAAAATTTATTTTCACTACTATTTTATTCTCAGCCGAGTTGTTAAAGTATCTAGATATCATTTTGAGGTATCTGTATCTATTTTTATATACCCTTTGATATAATTTTATTTTCCGTTTTCTTATATTAAGAATAATATTTGAATTAAATTCATTAAATATTATTATGATTCTTTATATTATACACAATAAATGCCGATAACATGGTAAATTTTAAATTTTAGTTGATTATCTATTAAAGTTTCTAACTGATTGCAAATAGATAACCTATAAAAATAATCAAATAATTAAATATCATATTTTTTAAGTACATAGAAAATATGAATAAATGATATAAATTTTTACACTTATCAAATTTTGATTTTTTTTAAAAAATGAAATGAGTGTTAATTTTTTTTAGTATATTTAAAGATTAAACAAATATAAAGTTGTGATTCAATAATTTTTTTAGATCACTTCAAAATTTGAATTTCATCGATAAAGTCTTAAATTAGACATTAGGCACACCTTATATAATTATTATAAAAATATAACCTGTGAAAATTTTATCTGTATGCAGATACTTGTATCAGATATAAACACATTTTTAGACAATGTATATGTATCTATATCCATTTTTAGACATGTATCTATATCTGCATCCATTTGAAAAATATCTTTTAACAACTCTGATTCTCGGCGAAATATTTGCACTGAACAATGATTTATGAATAAACCTCGTATTAAAATTTGGAATCAAAATGTCGGACATTATCTTAACTACAAAAAATTTATTTTTCTAAATCGAAACTTTTTTTAAATACAAATATGGCCAAATTCAATCATTAATTTAAAACTATTTCTTCTTTAAAGATTAAAATATAAAGCAATTTTTATTATTTAATTAAATTTTTATAAAACTCTTTGCCCTTATCATAATATATAATTTTAAAAAAAAATACTTTTACAAAATTTTAACAAGTTGCCGATATTTTTGAAAAATAATTCCTGATTTTTGTAACATTTTTTAATCGATATTAATTAAGACTGTTGCGACGTTGCCATTGCGACAAATAATTATTATAAAATATAATCATCTAATTATTTTAATATTGAAGTGTAATACTATATAGGCATTATTTGTAGTATTTGATTAGTGCTTAACAAAACTAATAAAATTATTTATTACATCAATAATAAGGCTATAATAAAGATACATTATAAATAGTTTAACGGTTGGTAGATATCAATAGAGTAGATGTGGAGAGAAAAAGGTTGCCTAACATGCACTAAATTTCATTTGGGCTGAAAATATTGAATATTTGTGCAGAACATTTTTTTAAGCTCGCAATACAAAAAAGGACTAAATTTTTTATATACATTTCAAATTATTTATTTTAATTTGGGGTTACAATACTGTAGTGGCACTAAGTTATGGCAGTGCTCAGTGGTGACCAGGATTTTCATGGAGGGAAGTGGATAAAAATTTTAGACCCGCTTTTCCCTCCTATAAAAAATGGCCTAGCAGGTAAAAAACTTTCTAAAAACTTTCTTCTCATTTAGAGTTCGAAGATCATTCGATATAATATAGCCGATTTTCTGTAAAACTACTTTTAATTTGTCTGACAATTGTTTCTTATACATATTATATAATGTCTAATTACATTAATTTTATATGTTTTTAAGACACATTTATGCCTTAAAAAATTGCCAGTATCGTTTTACATTTATATACCATAAAGTTTTGGTGATTTTTCCATATTACGAAATTTTTTCCTCCAATGTGAAAATAATATCCCAAATTTTGCTCTTCCTATTTTCTGGAACTTTTAATTAGATATCAAAGTCTCTTATTCAGTTGACACTTCCAATTTTTAAATAATTTCAATTCAATTTATTTTATTGCCATCGAAAGATTTTTAGTTTTCAAAAATATTCCATTTTCTAAAACAATTAAAAAATATATTTTATAATTTATAATTATAAAATTTATTCATAAAGAAACAATTTCAAAAATTAAAACATCCTTGGTTCACAAAAATTCATATTCACGCTCAATCAGCTTGGAAATAATTTTTAAGAAGCCAGTACCTAGTAATTTAAAATATATTCACACTAATCCCGTTACCTGTGTAACACATAGTTTTAAGACCCGCGTACACTTTTAATTGTAAGTACTAATTCTAAAATATGCTAATATTTTCTGCTTTAGTAGTATCTGGTCATCATAAATGAAAAAATTATTAGTAACAAAAGTTTTCCAGTCTTACGCTTAAAAAGCGACTGAAGGCATTAATCTAAATTTCATCAATTTTACAATTGTATATAATTTAATCCGTTTGACAGATAGTAGAAAAAAAATTGGCATTATGCTAGAATGAAAAATATAAAAAAAACTATACACTAGAGCGCGCTGAGGGCCTGATTAGTGCTTTTAATTCCTCACTCAAAAATGAGAACCGCAAAAAGAAACTAAATTATAAACAAAATATAAATTACGACGTCAACTTTAAGCAAGAAGTTAGCCTAGTTTTTGGGAAAATAGAAAACTTATACCAAACCATTAAGTAGGCTTTATTAGAACATTTTATTGTTTTATTCTTTTTTATGGATGTTTAAAGGGGAAAAGAATTAAGGGTAAAAAATAGAAAATTGTTAAAATCAGTATCTGCCGA